GCCACTTATACAAATTTCCGTTAATTCGTGATACATGGGCTTATGCTGAGGGGTGTTATTTTTAATTCTACTGGATGTATCTTCCAATATTCTACTGACTACCTTGGAAATGGTTTCCGGTCTTTCCAGGATGTTTGACCAAGCTAAATAGCCTCTGATTGTTCTCAACATGTCGCTGTATGAAGGGCCAAAAAAGATTGGGTGGATCGATAGACAAATATGCCTATACGAATCTACGGGACAGTAAAGAATCTCTTTCCAGCAACATGATCGCACAATTGGTCAAAAAGACGAGCCCCCAAACAGGAAGTTGTCCCACTGAGTGGGGAGAAGAGCTCGCCTTTTATCCACCAAATTTTATCAACAGGGAGTTGTCATTCCCACTCTCCCAGTCAAAATCGCTTCAATTGGGTGCCCTGATGGTCCCTCCCAATCCCAGCGTTATTTGTTATTTGGTGCATAATAAAATATGAATGTTGTATGAGCAATGCAGTTATGTCTCACTTAACAATTTCGACTATGATGTTGGGTCGTCATATCATGCTACTGAAAAATTAAAAATGTATCTTTTCGCATATATGATTAGTTCAATCTGTAAATACTGCAACCAAAGGCTAAAATACGACAATTACTTTAGGAAGACCTCCTATTAGTGTTACAACAATTTGTGGTAGTAAGGAGTTGAGGATAATGGATACACGTACACGGTGTTGCCGATAACAATTAAGTTTTGGTGCTCTGCTAGTCTGTTGGCCGTTTTGTTTGCTGAAATAAAACAATGTATGACGGTCGTAATCTCTAAGAAATCTTTCAATCCCAAATTGTCATCATGTCGCTGTATGAAGGGCCGTAAAGTGGAACGCCCCACTCTTTATGATTAGTAAAGACATGTATATATAGGAAAATTAAAAAAAATAATCTTTTAAGACGTTCATGCTCCCGATGTAATGCTTCATGGAATTATGTTGACTAAACTTCTTTACACTTTACTATGTTGAAAGTATTCAGGCTATTTTTCCATGCAGAATCAATTTTCCTGATTTAAAAATGTTTTTGGAATTGTTTCATCGGTTTTAGGACGATTTTGGCTGTTTGTCTCCAATTTTTTTTATTTTTGGAGCTTTGTTTTTGCCGTCGCTAAAGCAATTTTTGTATGTATGTATGTAAAGGATACCACTCATTGTTGCAAGGCACAGCCATTAGACAGTGGATCATCCTCCAAGTATGACTTGATCAAGTACGATACCTGGTTGTATTCAATTTACCATTGTAAGAAGGGCCAAAAACGGAGGGGCGGACCCGTAAGCAGATACACTTACGCGCAATCCGCGGGATCAGGAGAATCGCCCGATGTAGAACAAGCCATCATACGAGGGAACGTCCCAATGAGTGGGGAGAAGAGCCCGCCGTCAATTCACGAAATTTTAATGACAGGGAGTTGGCAATTCCACTCTCCCCATCCAAATCGCTTCAATCCGGTGCCCTGGTGGTCCCATCCCTCCCCTTTGCATTTAATGTGTGTATATATATATATTTATATCGGCATTACCCGTTAGATTTTGTCAACACAATTTTGCCTTCTTAGCTTTTCAAAATCTTTAATAAATGCAAATCTTATCATCTGACCTATTCCGCGAGTCGTGCGAATCTCCACCACCAATGAGTCAACAAAAGTCACGCACTAGTGGGGTGACTCTCCGTGCAATCAAATGAAAAGTCACCTCACACGAGGCGACCACCGTCACCCTACTAGCGACAGAGAGCCATACTACTCGCAGAACAGGCCTGCAGGTGACGTTTAAAGCTCCACAATTTTACTGAAAATCTAAGAAAATTATTAAACAGAATTTAATAATATAACTGCAGAGCACAAACAGTTTAAATATACTGAGGACGTGTTGCCAAAATCGAACGGATACTTTATATGTTTATTAATTTATCTTACCTTGATGGACCAACTACTTACCTGTCCTTAATGGCCATAAGCTCCAATCGGTATTTCCCGGTAAATCCGATCACGATCCTTTACAACATTTGGCCGACAACAACGCGCATCATCGCAACCACTCAGCACTTTCTTCCTCTTCACTAAATTGAAGGGCTTCTAGGGAAACTATTTTCTTGCGGACCGCGTTGCGGTCGGACTTCACTGTTCTTCGGATGTGCTCATAGTTTATTATACAAATAATGCTCATGTTCATAGTTGTCATACAACCGTCGCTAAAGCAATTTTTGGGCCAAAAAAAAAAGTCAAACCGTTTTTTTGGTTAGTATAAATTTTCAGTCCATTTGTTATTTAAATGCTATTTTATTTCTGTTTGTCTTGTCCCTCCGTCTCGATCAGTTTCATCGTCGCCCACTGGTCACCATAGCCAGTTGAACTTCAGACGAATCTAGAACCGCACTACCATTCATCCTGGCGACAACGCTCTGATGAGACAACGAAACCCCACGCTCCAAGCTCCTCCCCTGATCCTATCCTTCGCAATGTACCCTTCTAACCTCGGGTATGCCACGAGTATTCGGCCCAGCTCCTACTAGGCATAGAAATAAGTAAATCTTGTTAAAAACAATGTACAATGAATTATCGGCTCCGTAAAGCTAACGCGATTGAGCCTTCCAAATAAACGAACTAGATAAAAAAAATTAAACATCTTTGGCGTTTGTAAGGCACTGACATCTTTTAGATAATGTTGGCAATCCACAGATTGAACCGTACATCCATACAACGATTTCAACGATTTACTCAAAAAAAAAAAATTTTTCATTATGATTTCTGACTAATACCTTATTTGATTTATCATTTTTGTATCGTAATTCAGTACTACGAATTAATTGGATAAAAAATAAATAAAGTTACACATATGAAGCCTCTTATGGACGTTTAGGCATTAATGTGTATGTATTAGGTTGTAGACCATAAAACAGAGTTGAAGCATACATTAAAACCTCGATAAAACTTTGAATGTTACTTAGGATATGATTTGTTTGTTGGTATATATGCTTCTATATATTGCAAAAACAATGTTGATATACATACAATATGATTGTCTGGGTTATTGGATTGGACGGAAAAACTCCTTTGCCTAGAAAAATGACCAATTCTTGTCAATTGGGTTGTTTAGGGGTATTGAGGTACATATTCGTTATCTGCATTAAAAATGGAACCGATAAACAAAATTTCATCAATTTTGGTGCACTGGAACTATTTTAAATAAGTACAATTACATTAGCAAAAATAACCATCTTAGCGCCTCTTGGTGGGACTTTGTATGGGAGCGAGCTGTCAACGAATAGATTTAGTGTCAACGATCAAAAATTTAAATCTTGATTTAAAAATCGAGATGAATGTCTACGGGATCGTTAAAAATATCGTTGTGCTCAGAAAACAAAGCTCTATCAGATGATGTATAAAAATCGGTATATTTTTCAAAGTTAAACAACCCAATTGACATTAGTTTAGCTTGCATCGTGTTCAAAGGTCAGCAGGTAAAAATTAAAGACAATAACAGTTAACACCATCAGATCCAGCAACCTAGATGCAAATTTAGCATATGTACTTCAAAAGGAGGTCCATATCAGAATTGAAATCAGCTACTTCAATGGAAAGACCTTAAATAAATTTCAGGAAATTTTGGGTCCCTTTTTCTATTCCATGTAACTAAAATTATTACAGATTTGCATAAGAACAATTTGCAATGGTTCGCGACATGAACAAATTCTGTAATGTGGTCACCGGAAAATTATGAAAATAATTTTGTAATTTTTATGTTAGCCTATTTCTTTTTTTGAAGAAAATTTGTTTCCCCAACAGGCATTGCGTCTAAAAAATCATCCAACCTTACATTGGATGTAAGAGAAATCTGTGTAGCGTGTTGACATTTATTTAGCTTGCTATCGAATATATCTGAAACTGATATAAAAAATGCCTGAAATCCATCTTAAAAGTCTGCGTACCACCTTAATGATTTTTATCGATAGATCCAGACGATCTATAGACCAACATGTAAACCCTTTCCCCAATGTTAAATCTATCCCTGAATTTAATGAAAAGACTGTGCTGAAGAGTTCGACTGTTGGATTGGGCAATCTGTGGGCTGCAACTGTGCAGTATTGCGAATACTCTAATTAGAACTAGGATTATTACAATTCGTCCCTACGTTTCAGAACTGAATAGTGCCTTCTTCAGGGGACACAAATTGTATTGATTATTTTTACCCTGAAGAAGTCACTAACCAGGATCGAAACCTAAGAACGAATTGTTAATAGATCGTAGCAACAAAGATAAACTTTGAGTTTCTGTGTTTTAATTAAGTTTTGAAGCAATTAAAGTCCAAATCGTAGTGTATAAGACTGTATATGACTGTGAGATGCTTACTTTGAGTAAGAAATCACTTATTAATAAGTATCTTGTAGCACTCATAAAAAAAGTAAAAGTATAAACATAAACTCACTACCGATCATGGAAAGTTCATGTTTTAACAGATTTCCAATTTCCATTAAACTTGGCGCATACCGCCCTTACAACCATTTTCCTTTCGCAAGCAAGAGCATGCATACACGGCCGGCCAGTTGGCTGACAAATGGCACACTGCCGTAATAGATTGTAAAAGGTATCTACAATTAAACCCCCTCAGGCCGCCCCTTGTGCCACCCTACATTTGCCTCAAAACACTTCATTCAACGATCGATTTGAATAGGAATGACTAAGCAGCTCACATTTCCTGAGACGATTCGAGCATACTCTACACATCTGGGCCACTTGTCGTGGATGGCAAACGGGCCTCCATGCATTGTGACCGACTGAATGCTCCCTTGTGATGTGTGATTCGAACCCACTAATTACACCTGGTAGCAACTAATTAACAAACTGGTCGTCATTGCGATAACATGATTCCTTTTCACTCACAGTTACGCCTTACCTTTGGATATGATTAGAATGGACTTTCAGCAGACAGGCACTAATCACTCTCTTTCCGCATTGTTTCATTTTCACACAGATGATAAACCAGCCGCCGATCAGACTCCAGCTTCGTCCTGGTGGTCATCACACGTCGCTGACACGGTGCCATCAGCGAAGAACTACTACCAGGCCACACACGGACTGGTACAGACACATCCAGCGTTGGCCAAGGGTAGTCCACAGGCATCGCCTCTGTCGCAATCACGTGTGCCTTCCCCGACGTCCCTGTCAAGTGGATTTCCATCAATTGCCAATGCAAACTCACGATCACCATTCCGCCATTTGGACTTCAGTAGCAGTGCCACCGCCGAACTGAGACGCAATCCAAGTTTGTCCGCCCCGGATGAGTGTGCCCGAGCTTGCCGCGAAGGAGAACCACCGAGGATTTGCTATTATCACTTCACCGCCGAGTACTACACCGTCCTGGGAGCGTGAGTTGACTTTCTCGGGTGGAGTTTCAGCGATCGTTACAAAATTTCCTTTTCCCTTACAGTGCCTGTCAGGTGTGTACCCCAAATGCCACCAACACAGTATGGAGCCACTGTCAGTGCGTGTTGGCCGATGGTGTCGAGCGAGGTATCCTGACCATCAACCGTATGATCCCCGGGCCGAGTATTCAGGTGTGCGAGAACGATCGAGTTGTGATCGATGTCGAGAACCACATGGAAGGTATGGAGTTGACCATTCACTGGCACGGAATCTGGCAGCGAGGAACACAGTACTACGATGGTGTACCATTTGTGACGCAATGCCCCATCCAGCAGGGAAATACCTTCAGGTAAGGGTTATCCCTCTTATTGATCGTTGTTTTCGTACTATAATCCCATCTTCTCTCCTCCTCAGATATCAATGGACTGGTAATGCAGGTACGCACTTCTGGCACGCTCACACTGGTCTCCAGAAACTTGATGGTATTTACGGTAGCATCGTCGTTCGCCAGCCACCGTCCCGTGACCCCAACTCGCACCTGTACGACTTCGATCTGACCACCCACATCATGTTGGTAAGCGATTGGCTCCATGAAGATGCCGCCGAACGGTACCCAGGTCGTCTGGCCGTCAACACCGGTCAGGATCCCGAATCTCTGCTCATCAACGGCAAGGGACAGTTCCGTGATCCCAACACCGGTTTCATGACCAACACTCCGCTGGAAATCTTCACCATCACCCCGGGCAGACGTTACCGATTCCGTATGATCAATGCCTTTGCCTCCGTTTGCCCGGCCCAAGTCACCATCGAAGGACACGGCCTCACAGTCATCGCCACCGATGGAGAACCAGTGCTTCCAGTGCAAGTCAACACCATTATTTCATTCTCAGGTAATTGACTCAATTATGTTTGAACTGCATTGTTAGCGTTCGAAACGGCGGGTGGCTTGGCGCTTGGAACAATGGCCCCCAACCGTCGCCATCACGTGGCGCTGGTACAATGTGGGTCTTTTTCTCACATGAAAACCAATTATAATTAAATAATATCGACCATTCTTGCGAATGGAACCTCTAACGAGCCAACCGCGCCGTCGCTCGTGTTACGACAGGCAATGAAACTGTCAGTTAAGGGCTCACTCGAACTATGCAGGCAATATCGAAATTTATCAAACTTGAACCAACCGGTCGGTGTGGATGAAATTCAGGTAAAAATCTGCTATCGCCACCCGTCATTATTGCTGTGATTGTTGGCATTGTTGCAATTTAAAAATCCGTGTTGCATTGTTACTGTTGAGCGTGGACGCAGTCCATGGGTTTCGGTAGGTGCTGAGCAATCAATCACTGAATCACCTCCCCATCCCGAATGAAAATGAAATAATTGATTCGGTTATGTTGTGCGGCGGTACGGACAGGTACTCGTTAAGCGATCCCCACGGCCGGCGAACGCAAGTAGGGTTGTCCGTGGGCATTTTAATTCCACGTATGATTTATTGATGGCACTCGGGTAAAGCATTCTATCCACTCAGTGCTGTAACACGAAAGCAGTAGCTGGATTTTTACCGATTAAAAATTCATGCTTTAATTGAAAAAATTATCAATGGCAGGCGTAATGCACGATGGGTATGTGAATTGCAGGCAAACTGCGCTGAGAGAGATGATTGAAAGTTCGGAAAGAGGTATATCCGAGATTGATCAGGCCTAACGTTTTGACTCGTATAGGAAGCGCAGACAAATGGAGTTAACACTCGTGTTTGCAGCGATCGACACGAATCGATTGTTTTAGAGAATTATATTAGTTTAATAGGGTGAACCATTTATGAGGGTTCTGTAGACTATGATTTAGACCTGTAGAATGTTTTAAAACCTCGATAAAACTTGTTACTTGGTTCATATGTTACGGCGATTTTCGACACAACATTAGATCATATAACTATTCGAGAGATGCCGACCTGTTTTAGACTCCATTCTGATTTCTTCTGCTTTTTGAACATCTTTAGACCGTTTCTTGGCCTACCACATTGGACGTTACTCGTTGATGATCCCACTTTTTAGCACAATCTCGAACAAAGGCACTCTTTACCTTGGAGATCCTGGGTGATCTTGCGGTTCACTCCACAAATTTTCGCCAGATTTCGGTGTAGCCGGATGGCGGTTTAGACTAACTCCGTCCGTTTTTGACAATTTCCTGATTGGCAGGTTGGGAATAGTGTATCAAGATCTGACTGTTTGCGCTTTGCTGGGAAAATAATTTCAAAGGAATTCTGAGGAGAATTTCTAAAAAATTCTGACTCAAGCTACAAGGTTACTTTGAAGAATTCAAATTATCTTATAAGAATAATTCAAAGAGAACTCTGCAGGGAATCCAAATTTAATTCTGCAGAGAGCTCAAAGGAAATTCGTCAGCAAAGCGAATATGACGATAATTTCTCACGAATTAGTCGGACTAATCCAAAAGAATTCTAATGAGAGTTACAACGAAATTCAATGTTCTGCAGATAATTCAATGGAAATTCTGGTTATAATTTAAAAACAATTATCCAGGGTATTCTGAAGGGATTCTGATTATAGTACCAAGGCAAAGTTCCAAGGGAGGATATCAAGAATTTTTTAGGAACATCTCAAGAGAATCCTGAACAAAATTTAGACTGGATAAGCAAAATATTTCCTTAGCAAGTAGGAGAATTCTCTAAGCATTCTGATGGGAATTCCATGGTAGTTTTGCGTGAATTATTTTGAATTGAAAGAGAATTGTAGAGGAGTTTTCTGTAGAGAATTCTTAGAGAGCAGAGACAATTATTTTAGAAAACCAGAGAGAATCCACTCCCACGATGAACTACGTGGAAATTTTAGATGATTCTAAGGAAAATCCAAAGATGATTTTTTCCTAAATTTTAAATATTCCAAGAGAAATAAGATCTCCATCCTACGTGTCAAAAACAATGTACACAAATAGCTACATTAGCGTGTGTCAGGAATTTATGGCGGATCACAACTCCATTGAGGTCCCAAAATAAATGTGCTAAATTTAAACGAATTTGGTTACGATCTGGATATGCAGGATTGCTTTAAAATTTGTAATGGAAAATGTATGGGAAACGGAAAGAAATTATTTAGTTCACTTCACCCTTATACTGAGCTCATCATAAATATTATAACATGAAACCATGGAACCAAATAGATTTTCAACCAATTCCGTACTTTGGAAATTGTTGAATCAATTCATTAAAAATTTGGACTTCAGAATTTCAGAAAATGTTAGATCATATCGGGAAAGTTTTGGCTCGCTTTGGAAAGTATTGAATTAGGTCAGATCAGTTTGAGCTCACTTCGGAGGTGTAGGGCCATTTGGACGAATGCCACTAGGTCGAAAACCACTAAGCCGAAAGCCACTAGGCTGAAAGCCACTAGGCTGAAAGCCACTAGGCTGAAAGCCACTAGGCTGAAAGCCACTAGGCTGAAAGCCACTAGGCTGAAAGCTACTAGGCTGAAAGCCACTAGGCTGAAAGCCACTAGGCTGAAAGCCACTAGGCTGAAAGCCACTAAGCTGAAAGTCACTAGGCTGAAAGCCACTAGGCTGAAAGCCACTAGGCTGAAAGCCACTAGGCTGAAAGCCACTAGGCTGAAAGCCACTAGGCTGAAAGCCACTAGGCTGAAAGCCACTAGGCTGAAAGCCACTAGGCTGAAAGCCACTAGGCTGAAAACCACTAGGTCGAAAACCACTAAGCCGAAAGTCATCACACTGAAAACCACTAGGCTGAAATCCACTAGGCTGAAATCCACTAAGCTGAAAGGCACTAGGCTGAAAGCCACTAGACCAAAACCACTAGGCCAAAAGGAACAAGGCCGTGTGCGTATGCCATAAGGCCAAATATTTCGCGAATGATACCCTAAAGCTATTCAACTAAGTATTCTTTGAACAATTTACGACCAGTGCAGTCATAGTAAATTAAGAACTGATTACTCACTTATTTTTTTTCAAATTTGCGAACGACCCACCTCAAAACCAAACGCTTCCTTACATAATTGTGAGTAATAATACCTCTAATTAAAACTAGGGTACAGGATGTCTACAATCGGCTCGCCATAAAACTTAAAAATACTAATGTTGGCTTTTTAGTTTAATTGTTGATCAAAATGCTAGGATGTTTTACGTCCGACGTTTCGGTTTTTGGACTTGTCTTCGTCAGGGTATATAAATTTGTACCGCCTTTCGTTGAGCGTAAAAAGCGCTACGATTTTGAACTAAAACAAGCCCTGATTAGATCTTGGCGATGATTAAACTGTAATCATAGCTATTTCTTGACGATTGAAAAGCCAAAAAAACTAATTCTTCAAGATCTTTAAACTTATATTAAAGACAAGACTTTCCTGCAGTTATCAGCGCTTCTCTGAACTTACTTGAACTGCCATAAAGATCACTGAACTAGACAATAAACTCAGGTCTTTTTTTACACGGGGGATACGGTCCGTGTAAAAAAAAAACCGTGTAAAAAAAACCGTGTAAAAAAAACCGTGTAAAAAAAAACCTACGAGATTTTGATTTTTCGCATGCTTAAATGTTTTTAAAAAATCGGATTTTGATGCCATTTGTAATTAAAGCATGATATGGTCCATATAGACATATTTTAAAAATTTCTGTATTTACACTAAAAATTGTGATTTTTTTTAAGTATGCCATTCGATTACAAATAGCTTGAAACGGATAATGTGATTGGAATCAAGTCGATAGGTTGTATCGTTGTCGAGAAATCGTTAAAAACGTACCGTGTAAATCGTGGAAAACCGTGTAAAAAAACCGTGTAAAAAAAACCGCGTAAAAAAAAACCGTGTAAAAAAAGACTTCAGTGTACGTTTTTTCTTATTAAACAATGAATTATCGGCTCAGTAAAGCTAACGGTTCAAAATTCTTAGAGAGCAGAGACAATTATTTTAGAAAACCAGAGAGAATCCACTCCCACGATGAACTACGTGGAAATTTTAGATGATTCTAAGGAAAATCCAAAGATGATTTTTTCCTAAATTTTAAATATTCCAAGAGAAATAAGATCTCCATCCTACGTGTCAAAAACAATGTACACAAATAGCTACATTAGCGTGTGTCAGGAATTTATGGCGGATCACAACTCCATTGAGGTCCCAAAATAAATGTGCTAAATTTAAACGAATTTGGTTACGATCTGGATATGCAGGATTGCTTTAAAATTTGTAATGGAAAATGTATGGGAAACGGAAAGAAATTATTTAGTTCACTTCACCCTTATACTGAGCTCATCATAAATATTATAACATGAAACCATGGAACCAAATAGATTTTCAACCAATTCCGTACTTTGGAAATTGTTGAATCAATTCATTAAAAATTTGGACTTCAGAATTTCAGAAAATGTTAGATCATATCGGGAAAGTTTTGGCTCGCTTTGGAAAGTATTGAATTAGGTCAGATCAGTTTGAGCTCACTTCGGAGGTGTAGGGCCATTTGGACGAATGCCACTAGGTCGAAAACCACTAAGCCGAAAGCCACTAGGCTGAAAGCCACTAGGCTGAAAGCCACTAGGCTGAAAGCCACTAGGCTGAAAGCCACTAGGCTGAAAGCTACTAGGCTGAAAGCCACTAGGCTGAAAGCCACTAGGCTGAAAGCCACTAGGCTGAAAGCCACTAAGCTGAAAGTCACTAGGCTGAAAGCCACTAGGCTGAAAGCCACTAGGCTGAAAGCCACTAGGCTGAAAGCCACTAGGCTGAAAGCCACTAGGCTGAAAGCCACTAGGCTGAAAGCCACTAGGCTGAAAGCCACTAGGCTGAAAGCCACTAGGCTGAAAACCACTAGGTCGAAAACCACTAAGCCGAAAGTCATCACACTGAAAACCACTAGGCTGAAATCCACTAGGCTGAAA